ATCATTTAATCAAAAGATCGATTGTCATTATTAGTTTGATATGATGATAAAATAGATTTGATTAGTGAACTCATTGATGAGTGACTAATAACAATAGATGATTATGATGTCGATAATATTGATATTACTTGATCATGCAAAAAAATTGTATCAAAGGGTTTGTTAATGTTTGAATCAACTCTACACAATAGATTTTTTATTTCATAAAATTTGATTTGCGTTATCGTCACTGTCGCTGTAGATGTTAGTAAAGGATTAGGTTCGTGATCATCTATGTTTTGTCTTTTTAGCATAGACGATAAGAAAAAATGTAGAAATTCTTTTTGTTTGCTCACATTGAATTCCATAAGTTTCATTTATACATTTATTAAATATTTTAAAGTATTATTTAATTTTCTTAAGTAATATGGGCTATAGCAGGCGACTTATATCTCTGATTACTACACTGACTATCAAACTGTTTTAATGATAAAACAGATTGGTCACAATCGCATGCATTCTGAAGTCGTATATATATACTTCCGATAACTGACGATTCTAATGCAAGGTGTTCCGATTTCTTCTGACTCATTTTCATTTCAAAACTCGATATGTTCAGGATGAAAACGATCGATTTTAAAGGCTTTGTAGTGGGATTCTGTTACTTAGGCTATTTTTTTGATCAAGTCACTATTTCCTCTCCCTAATGAGCAGAAACTCATAGTAACCAAGAGTTAAAGTTCTGCAGACTGTTATTTCCGAGATCTTCCTCTCTCTTTTTCAACATAATCATGTAATCTTGGAACATTTCCTAATTGATATTCTTATTCATATGTTGAATCAATATATTGTCGTAAATCTACTTGATGTTCATTTGGTACTTACTGTTGAACTCAATCATATAATAATAAGTTACGAAGATAACGTCCATATGAATTACTCTCATTATAATAAATATCACTTATTTGTTTCATCTGTTCTTTAATAATATTTTCAATCAATTATCAATATTTGTATTAGTTTCATAAATTAAAAATTCTTTTTGTTTTGATGAAAATAGATTAGAATCTAGTAACGTTAAACCAATATTATGATCACTACTATCTACTCCAATTATTAGAATACGAAATGAGTTTCTAATAATTTATGATGAACTAGAACAATTTTAATTATGGATAAGGATTAAGGATAGAATAGTTATGAAGCTATTAAATCAAAGAAAAGCTAAAATATTTAAGAAAATTCTAAAGAAAAGTGATTCATGTTCTAGTGATATATACAGTGTCCATCAAAATTATTCCACCAGTTGCTAATTGTGTTTTATTTTGTTTATATTTCAAAAAAAAACTAAGCGAGCTAGAATGATCTGGTTTTCATTAGATTACAGCCTATAGTTTTTTAGTACACTGGTAAAAAATTCTAAATCAATTCATTGATTTATTTAGTTTTTATTGACGATACAATGGTAGTATACCGTTGTTTCAACCTTTCAAGAATATCCAATTACTTCTTTTTTTGCAAATTAGTGCGTGCCTCTTCTAGATTGAAATTTTCTTTATGAAGCGTGATTCAATAGAACAAATTGTGCTTTACGTAAGAAACATAATTTGTTCGATTAAATCATGTTTCATAAAGAAAGTTTCAACTTAGAAGAGGCACGCACTAATTTGCAAAAAAAAGAAGTAGATGGATATTCTTGAAAGGTCGAAGTAACGACATGCTGCCATTGTATCGCCAATAAAAACTAAACAGATCAATGCATTGATTTGGAATTCTTTGCCAGTATACCAGAAAACTATAGACTGTAATCGGATAAAAACCAGATCATTCTAGTTCATATAGTTTTTGAAATAGATATAAGATAAAATAACATTAGTTACTGGTCGAAAAATTTTGACGGTCAATATATGTCGTGTCGAAGTTATAACTTCGATATGGTATATATACATCAATTTTAACTATTTTTTCATAAGATATAAGTTTTATTTTATGAAAATGACACAACTATTCAACGAATTGCGATATTGCAAGCAACTCCAAAATATATTTGAAAAATTTCTTTTCCATTTTTATATATATATGAGTAAACTCGAGTCATTTTCTTTTGTCAAGATCGTCCCTTTAAAAAAAGTCAATTTTCATCAGAAAAATCGAAATTAGAATAAATATTTTTTGTTGACTTCCATCATTTTCTGCTTGAAAAATATGCTTTTGTGATCGCACATTTCAGAATTCTCGAAGAAGCTTCATTGTAGCTAATTGCTTTTTTTTGCTTGGAAACAGTTTGTGATACTACAGTGCCTAGCAGAGCCCATTCTTGAATGAAACTTTTTTGTTATTATATAAAAAGCACTTCTATCAATAGATGACCATCTTTTGAGAGTTTTTCGAGGTATTGAACTTGTCATTCGTTTTCTCCACCATAAAAAGTAAGAATTTAAAAAATAAGGGCTTTGCCAAACACTCCAGCCTGATATGCTCTTTCAAATAAAAACTACAAATTAAATCTATAGACTGAGAAGCCACAGAGAATGTTGAGTTGCTAAATGATCTATTTTTTGACGTTTGTTTGCTGAATATCTCTTGAAAACGTCATGATATTGGACTAAAAATTTTAGTGCAGCCTTCCCACTATAGCTCCAACATATGCTGAAAATTTCATGTGATTTAAATGCACCTGTCCCAAGATCGATTTTAGATGAAGAGGTCTTAATTGACAGACAACAGATTGTATCAATCACAAAAGCATTTCTTTTTGCTTGCGACGTACATTAAAGGTTGTTTTTATTTTTGATAATGGATTAAACAAAAGCGATTCGATGTTTTGTTATTCATCTTCTTGATCGACGGAAAAAGTTCAAGCGCTCATATAGGATTTTTTTTGAATATGATATAGTTCTTTCGAATGAGGATCAAAATTTTTAGTATTGAATTGAATGAATGATCTTATTTTGGAAATTTTGCTCAGTTATTTATTTTTCTCTCTACAATATTAGAGAGTTAGATCGATTAAATGACTTTCCTTTGTGACACACTTTTTAATGAATTTTTCAAATTTTAATTCTAAGTGAAAATAAAGAGTTTGATAAAGCAAGTGTTTATAGAAGTTTCAAAAACTTCGAAATATTGACATACTCTAACACTAACTATACTCGTCTTTCGATTTTTTATTTTCAATTTTGAGTTTTTTCGAATTTTATGTTGATACATTCGTTAAAGAGAAAATTTATTGATGAAATTATGCGACATATTGGTATTCATTATATTTCACTATGAAAGAATCTTTTATAACAAGAAATTGAGAGATATATACAAAGTGTTCATCAAATGAACCAATGAACTGTTTTAATTTTTAATTGATGCAAATATTAGGGAAAAAAAACAAGTTCTAACTGTCGAAAACACAAACTATAATTGGAGACATTTTCATGAAAGACAATACACTTGTTTTTTTTTTACTGTTTAATAAACAGTTATTTTTTTAGCATAAGATACAGTCAATTCAATGATTTATATGAGTAATTTACAGTTAATTTTGAAACTAGCACTGAGTGATTTCAATATCAAAAGAAGTCGACTTTGCTCATCGTTAATAGATATATGATTTTGTACTTTCCAATGTTCTACTTGTGAAGATTAAAATATTGTGTTAGAATATAATATATAGAGATTGATAATTAAATCGATCTCATTTTTTACATCATGTTTAATAAATTGACAAATGAGCAGTGTTCAAGGTTGAATATGTCAGAGTCTTAACATTTTTAAAACGAAAATAAACGTCTTTGAAATTTATTTTCTCCGCAAAAATATAAAATTTTATTTCTTCTATTCTCAATGGTACACTTTTTCGTGAAAATAAAACTAAATAATGAACTTGACTATAATTTTCAAAAACAGTAATTTCATCGTCCTCGGCCATTCAATTACTAATAATGAATTTCATTGTCATTGAATATTCAATATCGACTTTTTCAAATAATCTTTTATTTATGAAAACAAAATTTTCATAGAACATATATTAGGTACGTTTCATTGTTTCTTATGTGATGTTAGCAGCAGTGCAAGCCTCTGTTAAGAGTATCCTTCCCTCTTTTCGGTCATTTTTGATTCTCAAAGAGAGTACAATTGATCTGCATGAAATTCTTACCACAGATAGAACATTTAAAATAAGAAGACACGTATTCAAGGAAAAAACTTTTAAACAAGATTTTCGCGATCTTTCAGAAAATTCTGGTTTTCCATAGGATCATATCGGGCCTGCTTACGATTCTTGTCTAACTTTGTCTGAACAGGCTGAAATTTCAACCACAGATACTTCGAAGTAGTCTTCAGAGCTGAAGCTAGCCATTTTCATTTTTGATCTTCGTGTCCGGATTGATAAAGCTCTGAACACCAGTACCCCGATTTGGGATTCCAACCTTTACGTATTCTTTTCATTAAAAAGAAAAGAAAGCGAGATTTTTGAAAAAGCTTAAAATCACCTCTGAGATATAGTCTAAAGTATCTCAAAAAATATTTTCAGTCCAATCGGACAATGTTAGACAGGGGTCGTAAGCAAACTTGTTTGGTCCTATGGAAAATCAGAGTTTCCTGAAAAAACTGCGAAAACGGTGGTGAAGACTTTTTTCCTTGAACACATATCTCGTTATTTTAGGTGCTCTATCTGTAGTAAAAATTTCATGTGGATCAGTTTTATCTTCTTGAAGAATCAAAAATGGTCAAAAAAAAAAGAAGGTAGATATCGTTAAAAATCGTTATTCTCAAATATTTATTGAATAGTGCTTTCATAATTTTATCATTTGTATTCAATAGGAAATATTATAAATTTTCTTCTTATAGTATTTTGCTGGTCTTTCTTTTTTTGCATTTTAAATTATAACTGTATTGCAAAAACGCATCATTTCTTAGTTATACAAAGAAATTTTACACTATAGTCTTGTTCAAAAAGTTTCTATTTAATTTGGTACTTCAATTTATTTATATAATATATTCGCTGTTAACCATTTGTAATCGGATGTTTAATCATCTTGTTCAGCAGATGAAACGACTATATTTGGACGTTGTCGAATACCTTCGGATTGATCTTCAGTAAATTTATTTTGTGATCCAAGATTACAATATCGTTCAAAATGTCGAGCTCGATCCTTTTCTCCACCTTTTAAATAATGTAAAATACTAAGAGCAATAAGAACGATAATAAAGAGAATGCCAAAACAGATAATAAGTATCTTTTCAGTTATTTCTAATTTGTACGGAAAACAATAGAGTATATTAAAATAAGGTGATGGTGGTAATGATAATGATGATTTATTACTTGTATCTATAAGCGTGAATATTAATTGAGAATTTTTTGTTTTTAAAAAATAAACGTAAGGAACATTAATGGACATATTTCCATTGAATAAACGATTCCATCGATTCATATGCCATTGACATAAACTTGCATCAGTTTCATATAGATGAGTTTCCATGTGAAATACATCAACAAGATCATAGGTATTTTCTGTTGAAATGTCCCAAAGAAGTATAGGTATATCATATGGAGTATATGTTGTTGTAGTTTGATTATTTATTGTAAAATTAATATTAGTTACTAATAAAGCTAGACGTATTTCACTGATTAATGATGGTGAATTGGATGATTGAGTAAAATTTATAATTATATTAATGGGAGATAAATTTGATGATGATGATTGGTCAATAATAATAAAAAGAATTATTTGAGTTGGTCCATCAAGATCGAAATCTGTTGTTGGAATACTTTCATCTATACGTAAACGAGCACATTGGAAATTTGAATCATTAAATGTAGAAATAAGAGGAAATTGATTACATAAGATAGTTAATGTTTCTTGAACTAGAAGTAAATATTAAATATTATAGTTATATAAAAATATGAATCGATTTATGTTTACTTGAAAATAGCTTCTGTGATGAAATTGGACGTACTAAACAAAGAATAAATAACAAAAAGAAGAATGGCGTCATTCTGTATGTCGTATTCTATAAAATTATTTTGGTAATCAATATTTTTACTAATACCTTAGACAAGGTAAATTAGAAGAAATAAATAAAACTAAGCACGTGTCAAGCTGAGTCACCGTTCCACATGAGCGATTATTATACATCGATAAAGGATGAACAAATAGCTGGAAGTTATGTGTGTAACATAAAGAAAGAAACAATGACGATAAAATCTGATCGAGTCTATACACGTGAATGAATATGAGAAAATAATTTAATTTAAGATAGAATGTTTCAAGAAGTTAGACCTATTTCGAATATGAAAAATTTTTTTTGACATAGTTCAATGCAAAATCATTGAATATAAGATGCCGAACTTGTAGGTAAATATCATATTAATACAGTAAAGTATTTATTATTTTGTTTATTTTATCTACCAAAATACGAAGAAATGATTTTATACTTAAAAAAACAAAACAAATAACTAAAAATTTATTCGAACCTACAGAATTTATTTTATGACACAAAAATTATCTTGTGATGGCCTTTTTTTTCAAGTGAACTGGTCTTCATATTCATAAATGCATTTACCATTAAAAGAAACGTTCGGTAAAATCGGTCATGAACGAAACAACGTAAGTCATGTCTGTAGTTAATACAAAAATAAAAACAAGCAGTAACAAGTCAAAAAATACTCGATCTTTTGACAAAAATATCGATAATACTTATACTCGTTCAAATAAGCAACACCGAAACTTCGGTAAAAAAAAAGTTTGAGTGTCAAAGTATCAGTACACATGTAAAATCGCACACGAAAATATGTTTGATGGAACAATGCATGATTGAAAATTACACTTTGAATGATTTTGTTATACTGAACATAATCGAATTTCAACAGACATTTGTATATTATTGGAAGAATACTTTTTTTTCATAATAATGAAGCTGATTAAACACATACCAAAGTACACTGATGGTGAACTCGTGCCGAAATCAGAACTTGTGTCTTAGAGGCACCAACCTGACCAGTATATATTATGTGCACTCGTACCATATGTGTGGAACCTATGATGATTAATATATTTTAGCATTAGATAAATACTTCTGATGATCTTTAAGAGTACCCTGTCTCTTTTTTGACAAAAAAAATCGGTTTCGAGGTATGCATAAGGCATGATAATGTCAAGTGCCATGCGCAATTATAGACATCATTCGACTGTAAACAGCTTACTGTTGCAGAGTTACTGAATTTAAGAATTTTTTTTATAATAATCATATTAAAATTATTTTCTTTTGTTTAACGTAACATAAAACACCAGTTGTCTCAATAATGACTGCTTATGACCTTCCTCTAACTTTGGCAGATCAGACTGGAATTTTTACCACAGATACTTGAAAGTATTCTCCAGAGAAAAAACTGGTCGTTTTCGGTTTTGACCTTCCTATCTAGATGTATAGAGCTCTGAAAGTCAACACTCCAGTTTTGGCTCCGAATCTTTACGTATTTTTCTTATAATAAGGAAAGAAAACTAGATTTTCCAAAATACTCAAAAATGCCTTTGAGATATAGTCTGAGGTATCTCAAAACAAATTTTCACCAGAATCGAATAAAATTTGATGCAGATCGTAATGTACCAGAATACGATCGTATGAAAAGCCAAGGTTTTCTCAACAAAATCACAAAAACCTTCTTGAAGTTTTTTTTTCCGAACATGTATCTCTTTGTTCCAAGTATTCTATCTGTGATAGAAATTTCAATCTGATCCTTTGTATCCTCTTCAAGAATGAGATATGGTCTAAAAAGAGGGTGAATACCGTTAATGAACATTGTTTTTCTTCACTCTATATCAGTTATCCGATAATGAGTATTGTTTTTGTGTTATAAATTTTAAGTCAACATTTTATAGCTATAAAATTGCAATTTGAATTAAAATCCAAGCTAAATTCACAGAGGTTTAATATTGAGTGTATGACTCATTAGCTAGTTGATCATAGAAGAATAAAATATTAGAACAATGAGAATTTATTTGTCTCAGGTTCATTTTAGCCTTCTATTCTCAATCCACTTTCTTTTTCTTGAATAGATTCTAGGTTTATGTAAATCGACGTCTTATGTATTCTGATTTTGAGAGTAGATTTTAACAAATAAGTTAACTCAGGATGTGAATGTGGGTGCCAATAGAATATTGGCTGTTCCACGATAAACGGGCGTTTATTTCTATTTTGTCAGAACGTCATCGGATGGATCATCTCAATAATATTTGGTATTATATCATATTTCGCATAGTTTCAATAATGAGAGAAGATGAGTATAACATTGACACCAGTCTAATACAATAACCTTTATTTACTTGTGCACATTAAATCATCAATAGAATTAACAGTATATAATCATCATGAATTCCAATCAAAGAGAAAAAATTATATATGTCCATGATATACTCATCTTCTCTCATTATTGAAACTATTCAAAATATGATATAATACAAAATATTATTGAGATGAACAACCCGATGATGTTCTGACAAAACAGAAACAAAGGCCTGTTTGTCGTGGAACGGTCAATATTCTATTCGAACTATCATTACTTTCTCGTAAAGTAACAGCATAGTTTCCAACTTTGTTTCGATTCTTTTCCTCGAAAATTGAATCGTTACGAGCACCATCTGACGATCCTGGTTACACAGATGAAATGTTATAACATCATGGTTTGCACACTTACAGTTCGTTTCAAAGTTAAAGCATGCTAAAAAAAAGAATGTTTTCAGCATCTATAACTAGAATGATGTAGAGATATATCTCTCGAAGTCTATTACTCAAAATCATCTGACATTGATTTAAATTACAGCAACACAAAGAAAAAAGCAATTAATTCATTTCTTTTTCAATTACCACATGTAAAGATTTCCAAGATTATTTTTAGACTTTTTTTTTCAAACAAAAAGAAATTTTTATAAAGAACAAAGTGAAAATTAACATGCGACATATGATTTATTTATTTCTGCATATGAAAATATTCTATAAGTGTAATCATAAAAGAGTTTATGTATGATAGTTTTATCGCCTAATTTAAGATATTCGATACATTTGTTTAATATACATTGTCGTTCAACATATGGATAAACAGATTTAAGTTTGGAACATTCAATAGAAAAAATTTTATCTGCCAATAATTTTTCATATTTATGAGAATATCGAAAAACATAGCAGCCCGTTTCAATATATCTCATTCTGCGTGATTCAAAATGAGCCATTGGTTCTCGAGGTGCATATAACCATAATGATCCTAATGGTCGAAGTACTAAAGGAAATACATCTTCAAGACGAACAGGACAACTACTTGGACGTCCTAATAACCAAACATGTGTTGAATTTCCATCATGGTAAAATATATCGATAAAAGGAAAACGCCATGGTGTTGTACCAGCATGAGGACACCAGCTGAAAAATACCTTATCATAATTACGTTTATTAGGTAATTGCATTATAATAATTGAATAGGGTTCGAATGAAAGTTCTCTAATAATATTTGATTGTAAACGATAACGATCCGCAACTGAAACACTTAAATCAACATCATCATCCCATGGTAATATATCATGACGTGTATAACTACCTGAAATATAACAGAACTATTCAATTATGATCTTTTTTTAATTGTATTTACCGAGTAGTGTACCAGCCATCATCATGTATTGAATATTATATTTTTTAAAAACTTTTTCAATAAGTATTGACAAAAGATGCATATAAAGAGCATGTTCACATGGATTAAGTGCACGAGGTATAAGCGAACTTGAACGCCATTGAGAATATGAATATGGAATAGATTCATCTTTAGAATTAAGTCGAATAGGAATATTTGATGTTTGTTCAGTATTGATACGTTGATATACTTGACGACAAAATCGTTCGTATCGGGTTTCATTGAGAGTATTCGAAAATATGTATTTATACGAAACGAAAGATTGATTATAAACGATAAATAAAAATGGATAAACAGTGAATAGAATAATAAAAATGAAAAATAGATATTGATTTGATCGTATAAAGCGGCTAAAACGTATCATCATTAATTCTCTCACAGTCTCTCTGAATCTTCTACAGGTGTATCATTAAGTAAGAATGACAAGCAACAGCTTGTGTGTTTTCAACTGTTCTACAATAATACGAATTGAATATAAAACGAGACAATGCATTAAAACAAAGGACAAACTCACGATGTCTATAAAAGTTCTATATTAAAGGATCTTTATTAAACTACCTTTATTTGTCTAATGTTTATTTTCACTGCATAACACTAATCACGATGCATATACTTTGTAAGTTCTCTTAGCAAATGGGTACAACTGATACTACTTTTTCTGTTGATATATTCAGATATTATTAATGCATTTGTTTTCACTACTGATTTTAATATATTTATATGACGTAGTAGCAAATAGAACAATATATCATACTCGGTATATATTTTTCTCAAAGACAATTGCACCATATTGAAAGTATTTTACGCAATTCAATAAGAAAGAATAGAAACTATGATTAAAACTTAAGCAAATAGTTTCTCCCAGCATGTATGGAATAGTTTTTTCTTTTTTACTTTAGATAAGAACTACGTGTTTGATGGTAGTTAAAGTCGTATCATTTCAATTATTTAATTATAAATCATGAATATAGTTGTATACATTAATAGGATATTATGTAAACAATAACAAGTTTCAAGAATTTCATTCTATGAAATTAATCTTTTAGAACAAAATAATATTGATATGTGAATAAAATGTTTTTAGTAAATTAATGATTGATATCAAATTGAATTAATAAATGTTAGATTAACTAAAACAAAAATCGTTAACTTTCATGAAATCAATCAATTAGATATCTTCAATTATTTAATAATAATAATATGACAAAAAAAAACGAACTTTCTAAAAGGGTTATTTTCAATAAAAAATAGTTTAACATTTAAGAAATATTTTTCTTTTTATAGACAGTATTGTGTTCTATTTAAATCAATTATATTTATATTTTCGTGCCATTTTGCAAATAACGAAAGATAATGACATTTACAGTCTTTACTCTTTTCAATTAATATCAAAGTTTATTCTCTAAAATTTCTTCTACTATACATTGAAGTAAACAATTATTCCAATAAATGGAATTATCAATATGTTCAATAGAAATACTGTATGATGTATAGAATCATTTACAAACGAAGAATGAAATTCTAAAAAGTTCTACAACTCTTCACACAAGAAATTTTCATTATAATGTCTACTTATTATTGACAATTCAAAGTAACATGTATAAAGAAAAATAAAAATTCTATCTATATCATTTTATCAGTATATTATCTTTCATATTTTTACATTAAAAAAAACAAATGAATCATTTTAATGGTCTGTTGTGAAAGAGTAGAAGCAAAAAAAAACCAAGAAGAAATTAATGAAACTCTTGAACATTTTCTTCATAGAATAACCGATTTTTACTTATCATAATCTTCTTAGCATCGTTTTGATCTTTTCTTTTTTTCTTCTTCTTCTTCTTGACATTGCGTATAGTATAATAAAAGATACATTTCTTTCACATTTTATTGATTTATTGCAATAAAAAAAAAGACAATTTATGATGATAAAGCGTGCAAACATATGCACCTAAACTTTTATTCCTAAATGACATTCTTTTGATCGTGAATGATACGATATATAAATATGTGATCAATTATTCTTGTTAGTTGTTTTTTTTTTCTCGAGGCATCGAATACATTTTTTTTTCCATTTTTTAAATTAGCACGTACATACACTTTCATAATATAACTTTGATAAAAAAGAGATATGATTATATGATTGTTTCTTGAATAAGAAAAGCAAAAAATATTCATCATTTTTAATGATGACGAATATTAGTAAATTTCATTTTATCGTTTCTTTGATTTATTCAATTTTTTTTTTCTTGCTGCGACGAGAATACATTGTCTAATTACAGGCGCTTATATGAAAATATAAAGTCATGCACGAATGATTCTCGCGTCATTTTTGTCTTAGATTGTCGTCACGAAAGGTATACAAATATACAATCATACATATTTTGTCTCGTCTTTTGAAGAGTGTGATAGTTTATCACAAGGAAAAATCTGATTTGTGATATTATTTTGAATGAATTAAAACCAATGGCGATCAATGATGAAGTTTTAAATGTGCCAAAAATCTTGGATGTACTTTCAAATGAAGAAGAATTCATTTTTAAACCATTTCAACATAGTAAGATTTTATAATTATATAAAATCATTGATACTCTCTATTTTTATAATTAAAGCAATTGCAAATGATATTGGTGCAATAGAATGCGGAAAAATCGTGTCAAGAATAAATAAAGTTCTATTTGATTATCAAATTGGTAAAATAAAAAAAAACAAAACAAATCTTTGATTTCAATTAAAAAATTCAATTTCTATCTATAGGTGATAAAACAAATCCATCTTTAATAGATTCCATATTTACTCAAAGAATTATTTTAACCATACCTGGAACTAAACAAGTAACTTTATATTTTGTTTTGTTCATTTTATTAAAAAAAAAAAACATTTTTTATTTTGTGGGTCGCTCTTGAGCTCTATGAAAATCGTTTACCTCTTTTGTGTCAAATGTGTAGTCGACAAGAAGTTCAATGTTTACCAACAATAGCAAGTGAAAGTCAATCAATTGGCTCTATACGACGAGGGTACGTTTTTAAAAAAAATCTACTTTATTAATAGAAAAGAAAAAGGAAGGGGAAAAAGAATTTTCTTAAATTGTTATTCGTGATGGATGTTGTAATTTAGCTAAATTTTTAAGATATAATTGTAATAAATGATAAGTTGATTCAGCTACTGAAACAATATCTTTATCAGCATAAAATGTAAAACCATTTAATTCATCTTGACGCATATCAAATGCATCAGTACTTGGTGGAAGTTCAATTGAAAATGTATGTGGAATTTGTGCTATAGCTTTAGCCCAATCTTCACTTGTACCTGTTGCTGTATAAAGTACTGTTGATGATTGACCAATTTTAAATGTATTTTGACTTAAACGATTCATTTGTAAAAGTAAACGTTCAGCACGATGATAATCATATGGACGAATACGTGTTGAAAATGAAAATGGTAACATCCAAAAATTACCAAATGCATGTAATGTTATAAATATATGAAAATACGGTCGACGTTTTAATATAAATGATGTTATTGATCGAACTTCTGGTTCAGATTCAGGATATGGTCCACGATATGTTTCTTCACTAAATTTAAATAAAAAAACAAAAACAATATAAAATAAATTTTTTTACAAAAGATTAATATTAATACCATGGAAATTTCGATGCTCCTCGATTATCCCATGCAAATGGAAAATTTCGATTTAAATCAACACCTGGACAATCATTATGCGGTCGTCGATTTTTTCTCCACATTCGTTGTTGATCATGTTGTTCTTGTGTATCCCATACGGTCTTTATATCATCATGTGTATATGCATAACCATCAGGATTAACAACAGGCATAAAATAAAAATCATATTTATCAATTAATTTTCTTACATCAATATCACGTGCTAATGTACCATTAATTATTCGTGCTATTGTATAAAGTACAGTTGCTGTTGAAATCCATTCTCTTGCATGTATACCACCATCAAGCCATACTGAACGACGATTTTTTCGAAATGGCATAAGACCAATTTTTGCTACAACTAATGAACGATTTTCATGAGTATGCCCAACAATTTCGTATGCAAAAAAACGAGATATATTAGGATGATGAGAAAGTTCTTCAAACCAACGAAGAATTGTTGGATAACGAGGATATTGATCAACAATTTGAGAAAATGATGGAACAGTAAATAACCAGGATGAACGAAATGGAATAGATGGACGAGACATAAATGAACTAGATGCTAAATTAAATAAAAATTTTCAATCATTATCAATTTTAGAAAATAATTCATTATAATTATTACTTGATTGAAAAAATGTAGTAGTAGTAGTAGTTGGAGTAGTTGTAATAGTAGTTATACTAGTTGTCGTTGTTGTTGTTGATGATGATGATGGATAGATAAAACTAGTTGATGTTGTAAAACTTCTTGGTACTGTGGGTGGTGGTAGCCTATTAGTTTGTGATGGTAATTTAGGAAAACGTTCATGGAATAATTCTGTTGTTGTTGTAGTAAATTTCCACCAAGGATATTGTGTTGTTGATGAACTAGTACTTACTATTTCTGTTGTTGGTTCATAAACATTTACAACAATTCCAAAATGTTGAGGATTTGAATTTGTTAGTGGTGGTGATGGTGGTAGTGATAGTGTTCTAGTTCGATTTCGATGTCTAAAATTATAAGATTTTTTTGTTTGAATAGTTGTTGTTGATATTGGATGAAAAAAATAAGTAGTTCGTGTTGTAAATAAATTATTTTTATATTGATTATTATTTATTGGAACAACAGTATCAATCGACGGAGCTGTTGGATGATTGTTATTTGGTAAATGTACTCCAGCATATAGATGCATTGGTGCCATAAAACTTTGTCGATTTGAATGATTCCATGATGGCTTATGAAAATATTGATATTGTGCTATTAATGATGATATTAATGTTAAAATTATAAACGAAAAATAAATCATATTTGTCATGAAATCTATCGATAGGTTCTTTGTATTTTTTTTTCTTGTTTGCTTCTGTTTCACTTACGAAATAATATCAATTGATTAAAACAAAAAAAAAAAAAGGTTTTTCTTTGACATTTGCACATAATTGCCATTTTCAATTTTCTTTCTGATAACGGAGGTATACATATTCTTATATAGATATAAATATATGAGATAAAAATTGTAATAGTGATGAAATGTAATCTGAACAGTTTTATTCTCTTATATTGATTATAGAGTGGCATTTGGTAAAGTATGGTATGATATATACGATAATAGACAAGAACATGTAGTAAGTTTAATGTTACGTAAAAGTCATTTAAAAAGTAAAATTCAACATCGTATACCTGAATTTGAAATAATTGATAATGATGAAACAACAAATATTGGACGAATCTATCCATTTTCAACTGATCTTGAACACTCTGAATATGGAAAAGCTGTAGCTGTAAAGCGTATGTTTAAATAAATTAACTTTTTACATTTCAATATAATTTATTTTATTTTAGTTCCACAAAATATGAAAGCTGAAACAAAGGCAACATTATTAATGGCAACACTCATTGTTGTACGTTTTTTTTTCTTTTTTATACATAAAATCTTTTATAATATTTATAATTTTTTTCTCATAGAAAACACGACTTGTTTAATCAGGATTATCATCGAGAATCTTATTATTATATTTTGTAAATAATTTTAAAAAATATCAATGTACTTGAATACTTCTTTTTAAATAAAAGTTGGTTCAAAAGAAAAGATTTCAACAATTTTTTAACATTTATATTGACCAACTAAATCTAATAAAGGAGAAAAGATCTCTTGTTTGGTTTTTTTTGTCACAACGTAGTCTAGTATGGAATATAATTATATGAAGAAAAAAAAAAAGAAAGATTTTAAATGATGAGAAGTATTTTATTCAATGTTCATTTATGGGGTGTGCTGTTTAGATGAGTTTCAAGTTATGAAAGAATGTAGTACAAGGTGAATTATAAATGCTTCTACTATAAAAAAATTGAAATATATCCGCTTCGATTTGTTCGAATGGGCTGATTTTGTTGTTAATGGTAGAAGCTAATTTAATCCTTTACCTCCCATAACGATTTCAGAAGACTCACTAATAAAACAACTATTGAAACAGAGTATTATCTTCTTCAGTAGATCAATAATATAAATTTTCAAATGTATATTATTCAATAGCAGCAACTTTTCTTGAAATTTATCGTCCATCACATCATCAAGATAAGTATTTCTCGTAGGTAAAAAAAAAACAATTTAAACAGAAGAGGTTTTTTTTTAGTAATTTCATAATCGTCTCTTTTATAAGTCATGTATCTGAGAGACAGAGTAAGGATACAAAATATTTTTTTTACCAATCGGCAGTTTAAGGAATCCTCTATACACGGTGTATAAAGAGTTTTTTGAAACCACGCATTCTGTATTTTCTGTAATATTTATATAAATGGCAATTCTAGTTGACAATGGGGAAAATGAGTTAAAACTTTTGTTTTATGCGGCTAATGTAAACAAATACTACTGTCAAGTTATATCTGTGGCCTTATTAATGAAATGTGGCATATTGTTAAGTAAGACAAATACTTATAAAGAGTCTCATAGATGATTTACGGTTGTTATCTAAGAGAATAATAAGAAGAAATCAAAACAAACTTTATAAATAATACAATATTGATGTACATAGAGGAAATTTTTAGAACTAGTCAGTTTAAATGTTGAAACTCGTATTCTATTGTAAATCTTTAGATAGCAACTTTCTTGCAAAAACTAGTTTTTCATATTTGAAAATTCAAAATTTTTTAATCGTTGACTTTTAAACTAACTATATAATTCTAAATGTACATCAATATAGTATCATTAATAAAGTTTGTTTTGATTTCTTCTTATTATTCTCTTAGATGGCAACTGTAAACTGTCTATGAAGCGCTTTATACGTATTTTTCTTAATAGACAATAGGTCAAATTTTTTTTAGTGAGATCAAAAGATATAACTTACCAGTAGTCTTTGTTTATGTTATTCATATAAAAAGAAAAAACTTTCAATAAGTTTCTACGACTACCGAAAAAAAACCAGCTCATTTGAAGGAACCGAATTGGTGATATTTCAATTTTTTATTGTAGTACTATTTATGGTTCATACTGTAGATAGAAGGATAAGAATTATTTTATCATGCTATTACAGTCACTTTTTTTTTCTAACAATATTTTGGTGCCAATGATATTATTTTATCATCCTTTTTGGGGACACATTTATGTCATTGATAGATGAGACGAATTATAGTATATATTACTTTATCTATTGGATCCATCATCACTATATTATTTTTGGTCAAAACTTTAAGATAATAACTATAACCATTTCGGAAAGAGTTTATTTTGTTTTTTTTAATCCTTTTTCTTCATATAAACATATTCATTAGATTCCCATATGTGATTTTTCACTGCTATTAAATCTATTCAAGTCTATGATATGAAAACAGCTGTGTGTATATGTATATATCTAGGTTTTATATGAATGCCTAATGTCTTAGATAAATTCCAACATAATTAGTAGTAAACAGTTAGATGAATTTGTTCGTTAAATTGGACGTTATCTTTACAAATTACTTTATCTCAAAGCAAGACATTCAAGATAACAACGATTATAAATAGTAACCATCTAGTAATTTCCATCGTTGATCAAAAATATGCATATAATAAAACTTTTACTGACACTTATATCTTTTTCTTTTCCTATTGCATATAACACATCATTGAGTATACTCATATGGTCTTTATCAATCGACAAGTATAACGTAAGAAAGAAAAAACAAAAATAACCTTGTCTACATATCTAATTATATCAATGATGTCTATGTAGACGTGTGTACTATTGATAGATAGAGATTAAATCGAAGAAAAAAAATGATGACAACTATATTTCAAACATGTGTCAATAACATAGAATTTCAATCTTTTTATCATTCCATCTACTGATAGGCATATTCGTCGTTTGGAACAAAAAAAAAACGAGAAAAGAACATTGACTAATACAGAAATTAGATAGCAATCTAAGACTTATCAATAATAACGAAGGCGAAGGTCGATATCCAAGCGAGACAGACAGAGGAGAATATCAATTGTACAACTTTACTGGCAGTTGCTTGTTTATTATTATTATCATTATAGAGCTATTCTTATAAGGATAAATGATGCATCTCAACGTACAATAGATAGAACTTGATGATATAAGGGAAGGTGTCGAACATCTGAGAGTAATTATTAAACTATTGATCCAATAAAACAATCTATACAGAGACAAATAAAACAAAAGAAGACACTTCATAGATTTGCTTAAGACAAATGACTTCATCTACAAATGATATTCTTGGTCAAAAATTATTTGATGGTAAAACGAAAACAATCTATTCTATGATTGATCAACCTGGTCTTATTTGTATTTATCGAAAAGATTATTATCAAACATCAGGTAGAACATTAAATATTCCAGGTAGTCGTCGACCAAGTATTGATAGTTCAGTTCGTTTTAATCAACAACTACAAAGTCTTTATAATAATAATAATAATAATAGTAATAGTAATAATAATTCAGATTCATATATTGAAATTCCTGGTAAAGGTGCATTAATTACATCAATAACAACATGTGTTTATGAAATTTTACGTGAAGCATCGATTCCAACATTTTATGTTGCACCACATCGACAATCGGATATGTTTATTGCAAGAAAATGTACAATGATACCAATATTATGGATTATTCGTCGTTTAGCTAATGAAACATATATTCAACGTAATCCGGGAATTGTCAATGGACATCGATTTGTTCCACCTGTTGTTGAAATTTATCATAAACGTCATCCACTTGTTTATAGACGTTTACCAACAGGAAATATTGATGATAAGCTTAATTCTTCTTGTGAAAGTTTATTAGATGAAGATGATTCTGATTCTGATGAATGTTTATCTTCAATATGGTCTTATGAACAACTTCTTAATGCACATTTTGATATTGAAAATTTAAAAATTACACAAACTGAAATTGAATATATGTATGAAACATGTTGTACTATATTCGATATACTTGAACATATATGGATGGTAAAGAAAAATTGTCAATTAATTGATTTAAAAATTGAATTCGGAATAACAACAACTATAACAAAAGAAATTGTTGTTGCAAATACATTTGATATTGAAACATGGCATATTTTACGATCAATACAAAAAACTACTGTATTAGGAAATGATGTTCTGCAAGAAAATCTTATCTGGATAAATAATGCTTTAAGAGATATACTTAACTTCAATGTTAATATTCCTTCATCAACTAAAATCGGTTCAAGACGTCAAAGTTTTCTTCAACAAAAACAAGAACCAATATTAAATGAAGCAAAAACAGATAATGGTGTAAAAACATCAAATTCCATTGTTCCAGAAGATGATCATATTGATATACATAAAGATATAGTATCATTAAATCTTTATTCAGCATCTTTTTCACCATCAGCAGCAAGTCGTTGTATTATAGTTTGTTCATCATTTCAAGATATTGAACAAGGACAAAAAATAAAAATAACTCTTCATGAAACTTATAATATTCAATGTGATATTCGTCTTTGTTCAATATATAAATCTACTCAAGCTATATTAAAATTTCTATCGAATTATTCCTATGAACATTGTCGTCCAACAGTTTTTGTTACACTTGGAAATATAAATAATGGTTTAGCTATGTGTTTATCATCAAATTCTCAATATCCTGTTATACATTGTTCATTAATGAGTAATGAACAACAAAATAATTTACTTGATATTAATTCATATTTATCACATGATGCATCTATGTTTACAATTGTATTTACATTATTAAGTGCAGTACAAAATGTTGTACAAATTCTTGCTATGAATGATTGGAGATTATGGACAAAACAACGTGGAAAACGTTTAAAAAATTATATTGATATATTAATAGGTGATCAACAATTAACAAAAACAACAGCAACAGGAACAACAATAACTAAACCAACAATGAGAGCTAACAATGGAATTTTAACAAATAAATAAATAAAAAAAAACAATTTTATTTTCTATTGTACAAAATATAAAGATAGAAAAAAAAGCAAAGTTCATCATATCCATCTGTCTATTATATAGTATGTGTTCATTTTTCTTAATAAATTCGTTACATCTGTTTTCTAAACATGCATTGCGTCTTTACCAGAAGTTCTTATCATATATATATATATATATATATATATGTCTTAACTTATCTTCGTCATCGAACAATAAAAAGAAAAAGAACCTGTATCAAGATGATAATACACCTCTTTAGTTAGTGACAATGCATTTTCTAACATTAAAAAAGTAAAAAGAAGTAACTAGAATCTTATCAGTTTATTTATTACCAACTAAGAACACCAGTAAAAAAAAATATGCATCTTACATTCTCTCTTTTTGTATTTTTGATTATTGGTAATGGTGTTTACATGCATATATGTCTTTGGTCACCAATGCAACGTGGTGAATTTGATATTTCAACTCCAGGAGCTCATCCATGTTATCGTAAAATAGCACCATGTGGTAACATTAATGCATCATCATCATCACCACGTACATCATTAGTAGCTGGTAGCAAATATAATGTTGAATTTCAACAAAATCTTAATCATTATTATACAGGCAAACCTGGAGCACTTGATATTTCATTTGCTGTAGGTCTTAATCCATCTGAAAATGATTTTCGTGTACTTCATTCATTTTCGGATTATAATTCAATGAATCAAATAACACAAACAAATTTTTCAATTCAAATAAATTTACCAAATGAACCATGTGATGAATGTATTTTACGTGTACGTTATTTATCAAATAATCCTGGTGAAGACGATCATGGAACTACTTTTCATCAATGTTCTGATGTAAAATTAACACCAAATTTATTGAATACATTAAAAAAAGACCAAGAACATAAAGATGAATTAATTGAAAATATAAATAAACAACGCAACGATGATCCACATGATTGTTGTGTACCTGAAAGTTATGTAAATGCTTTTTTTCATTCTATACCTGCTATTGATTATCGATCCGAAGGTTTGATTTTTTATGATAAAAAAGCTCAACAAATGCGTGTTACTGTAACTGTTAATGGTGGTCGTGGTAATACAACTTATGATGGTGTATTTGATATGTGGATGAATTTTACATCAGGTTATCAATATTATTTTAATCGTAATAATGGTAAATGTGACCTTTATGGATTAGATCTTTGGAATGATTGGTGTTTTGGTAATAAATATAATCAAAGTGAAGATTTTGTTGCTGCTGATGTTTCTTGTTCATCACCATTTGGACCAACTCATAAATGTAATCAATGGCGTAATGGAGAATTTCTTTTTGAAACTTATGCATCAGATCGATGTTTACCGTCGAGTATATCACGACCAAGTGGTGAACGAATTATTTATATTGCGGGAGGAACCGGTCCAATACCACCTTCAACTTTTACACCTAATCCAGCTTGTATTAAACAAAAGACAGTCAAACATGCATCACCTCAATGGATGAAATTGCATTTTTAATTTAATTTAATTGTTTTTCTTTTTCTATAGAATCTAATTAATATAATAAATTCTTAATACAATGATTGATATAATTATATTCGAAATAAAATTTATTTAAACAAAAAAAACAAAAAGGTCTTTTTAATGAAAGCATATTCTGAAATAATTTAACTTAAGAAGAATAGTAAATGGTAGAAACATTTAATGATTCATTTCTTTCTAATGAATCATAGATTATTTTTAATAAAAACTTTCATCTTTCATAAGAATACTTTCAATCAATTTATTTTACACAGTGTAATTTTCATTTGATTTCATCTTTTGTTAGTATTAAAAATGCCGTTTTTTTTTTGTTCCAATTGTTTTCTGACTAATGAATGATCGAAAAATAATTCGAAAAAATCTTTGTTTATTTTTTAATGTCTTAAATAATCCTGCAGAATTTTATGTTCTTTCTGAATATGGGTTCAACATTTTTGTAGAGCTTCTTTTTTTCGGAGTTATGAGCAGAACTTTTAGAGGTCTGTCAATAGAGTTTGGAAGAATTTCAGCTCGTCAAAAATTATTCAAAGTAGAAGCAATAATGATTTCAAATACAGCGTATAAAAGAACAAGCATTTTTCCATAAAACAATATAATAATGATTAATTTGTTACAAATCATTTGTCAATGGTGAGTATTTTCGTAAGAAACACCGTGTCAATTTTGACGATTTTCTCGATTTCTATGAAAAATAGACTTGCAAAGTGAATTTAGCCATTCCTAAATGATCATTGTATCACTTTGTAGACCAGGTCGATGATTTTGAATTCCGAAAACAAGTGGATTCACTGAAACCAATCGGAAAAATGTGGAAAAGATCATTACACTTGACAGAAAAACACCGAAAATCAATAGAACATGGAAGTAGTATTCTGAACGGGAAAGAACAAGGAATTTGCCAGAAGTCACCAAAAAATCTCCAGACTTTTCGATCCGGAATACTGCTTCTAAATTCTATCGATTTTCGGTGATTTCTTGTCTGAATCGGCTTATATATCTTGATCTGAAGAGAATAATCTTATCTTTAATTCTACACAGCAAAAAAACTGATAATGTTACGTATGCGATAGAGGAGACTGTTGTTACAAAAAAATATTCATTTTCTCCGTTCAAACTTAATTTTTGCGCCTCTAAAAGGTCGGCTCGCACAGCTCCTAAATCAGAAATCTGACAACAATTTCGATTCCATATTTGGAAACAATACAAAATTTTAGTTCTAATCGAATGTTTTCAAAAATGCTGTCCGACTCCTTTATAACAGGCTAAAAAATGAATGAATATTTTGTCAAATTAATTTTCAATCATCGATTACTATGAAGAAATAAACAATTATCACTGACCGACATTATATATTCTATAATATAGAAATTGATTTATGAATAAATGAAATTCACGTAAACAAACGCTTTTATTTATGAGTGTGCAGAATTTAATTTGCTTTTTTTTCATTTTAAAGTGCAAAATACAAAAAAAATCTGCAACTCAAATGTAAAAGTACACAAGACAGAAAAAAACAATAATAAGAAGAAGGAGAAGAATAAACTTAGACATGTGAGGTACTCATAGGGATATGATGATAACCATCTTCATCATCTTCATCTGGTGTTATTAAATTGTTGGGATCTTTTGTTGATAATTTTGTTAAAAATCTTTTAGGCTTTTGATTAACTTTTGTAATTTGTTCAAAGACCGGATTTTGTGTTAATGGTATATCCATTTCACCATCAATATCATCATCTGAATCTTGTGATAAAGCTAAATATGGATTATTAATAGCTGGTTGAAATTTATAAGCTGTAAATATAAAAAATATAAATGTTGTTAATTCAAAACAAATAACTTCAAGCCATTCAAAACGAAATGGAACTGTTAATTTTACTATATAAACAACAATTCGAGTTAAATAGATGTAAAGAACAATCTAAAATAATAATACAAAAAAGAAAAATTCTTTTACAAAATCAAAATATAAATAAATGAAACTAACCATAACATAAAATTGTCGAAAGATCTTTAATTTACTTAAACTACTTAAAGCTTTTCCATCTGTTTTAGCTGATTGTTCCAAATGTCTTATTGACCTAGAATAATATATATATATATATATATATTTAAATTATTTATCTATTAAAATCTATTCTTATAATATTACCAAACAATTGGAAATATAATTGCGCCACAACATAAAAGATCAACAATAAAACATATTTGTTTCCATGTTACATAAACAGTATCACTCTCTTCTTTTTCTTCTAAAAATATTTGAGCAACAACAGCTAATATCTTAAATAAGAAAATCATTTATTTGAAATAATATATATATATATATGTATATACTTGAAGTGGTATAGCAATAATAAATAATTTTCTTTCACGTTCTGAAAGAACATGTTTAATAAATGTAAAGCCAGTACCAACAAGTAATATTGCAACAATTAAAAGAAGACCACGTAAACTAAAACAAAAAAACAAAATAGAAAATGAATTAAGAATGACAGATAACTGATTAGAGAGTTTATCGAATATTTGTTGTCGATTATATTAACTCGAATTTTTTTTTTCTATTTTCTCGAGTAGATATGATTAACATCTCGAATTGTAACGTTGCATCGATTGTTTTCAAATTTATACTATTATCTATCCTATTAAAAATAAGATTAATTATTTTCCACTTGATTTTACTGATGGGTTATATATAGGTACCCTCAAAATTATCCGATCACATGTAAATTCTATTTTTTGCTCTAACAATACATACTACAAAGAATTCAAATAGTGATTTGAATATAGAAAATTGTTTTCAATAAAGCTATGAGGACATTAAATTTTCTTGGTATATTCCCAAAATTTAGAATTTCTAGAAAACAAAAGCCTAGATTTTCAACATCCAGAGTCCGATGATAAAAATTTGTTTTGACAACGGAGGATGATGAAGCAGAACATTCTCAGTAAAATGAGACATTCGCCAGCTCTTCACGATCTATTGTAAGAGCCAAAAAATCGAATTTACACACGATCGCATAATTTTGATGGTCACTGTGTATATATGAGTGAAAGTAGATCACGTTCTTAACGTAAGATCATAGTAAACGATTATTTCATCTAGATACTTGATATCAAAACGATTTCTGATGAATTCAACATCTAAAATGATTTCGAGTGTTATTAAACTTTTGCCATAGACATGTGCATGTCGACAATTTCTTTTGTCTCGAATAGAATTTTTCAGTAAATAACAAATTGTTATTATTTCTTTTTTGATTCAATTGTGTTTATTTGACTTACACGTGAGTTATATAAAATAGAATAGCCCATGCTTCTTCATGTCGTCCTTTACTTGCTATATAATGATGATTAATCTAAATCAAAATCATATTTTAATAGTTTTTTTTTTTTTTTGAAATATTATACTACAATACCCCATGAAAAACAAGTGAGAAAGCTTTGGTAAGAACAAGAAATAACATTAGATAATGAATTTTGTACACCGGATGTCTAAAGTAAACAAAGAAAAATATGTATATATATATTATCCATACTAAACAGTATATTTTTTCTATCGAACTAAACAAAGTCTGAAACATTATCAAAATTGATCCTATACTTTCTATAAGAGACTACAAGTCAAAATATGCTAACCACTGTAAAAACAAAATAAATATGAAAATAATTGAGAGACCAACGAAAATACTGTCTCAATGATCTGCGCTCATTTTAATCATAAGTCTATATCTCCATAGTAAAATAGCATCACCTGGCAGCTCAGTAGAAATAGTAGTCAATAAAAAAAAAATTGCCTGTTGAAGTATGGAGTATACAGCTAATAATGAATGAAGAGCTTAACTATTTTCTAGCCGAAAAAAAGTTTAAAAGATAACCATTAAAAAAAACCTCACGAAAAGAGAAATCTATTTTTATAAATTGAGTTTTAGTAGAATATTTCTAGATCTTACACGTAACAGTTAAGTTAAAAATGATGTATGAACCATTTCTGTGCATTCATCCTAAAAAGATTATCAGTCGCCGAATTTGTCTGATTAAAATTCGTTCGATTTAATACTTTGTACTTGATTGTACTGTATGATTACATCTAACAGAAAGAAGATGAGGAGTAGACACTATTCATTAAATAAAAAATACATAATTTTTGTAGTGAATTTCAAGCGCAATCTTTCGATTAAGAAAAAAAACCTAACAGCTTAATGCTTTATGAACTAGTCATTATTTCTTACTTTGATGATTTTAAAACAAATATCCAATAAAATCCTGAAAGAAAATATATAACAGCCCAAGTAAAATAAAGTACAGGTAATGGTATTTCTCCAGCTGATAGATAATTATCAATATTTTTTTCTATTAATAAAGCCTAAATAGAAAAATAATTGATACAAAAACAATAAAACAAAATAGATTAACTTACAGTTAAATTAATATTTAATGATCTTTGATTTAATTCACTATCAGTTGTATTAAAACAATTATGAAAATATAAATTATATAAACCTTCTTCAGATTTACGTGTAACTATAATTTGAAACTAAATCAAAAAATCAAAAATCAAAATATTAATTTAACAATAATTTTCTACTTGAAAACGAAATCTATGTAATGTTCCATCAATTCGTTTCATAGGAATTTCATTTATAAGTGTTTCATTTTTTGCCATTTTCTGACGTGATGCTTTAGTAACATTTGATGTTATTGTTTCATCTATATATTATTTATCAAGTAAAATCCATTATATAATTCTTTTTTTTCTCTATTTACTTATATTTGATTGAACTCTATCTGGTTGTATGTCATATTCAATATCAAGAAGTTCAAAATCTGCTAAACGTCTTATGATGTTTATTCTAAAACAATTAATCTTACTTAATAATAATAATAATAATATAATATTAAAATAAATTTACTTTGGTTTTTCTGATTTATGATCCATCATAAAATATACATGTGGTATTTCATTTGTTTGTTCAATTTGATAGAATAAACATGATCGACTTGTATGACTTTGCTAATAAAATTTCATATCCAAAAAGAAAAATAAAAATAAATAATATATCGAATTTTGTATCTTTACCAAATATTCGGCAATACCACTATTCTTTGCTTTAGCAATACTAAATCCAAACTATAAGAAAGAAAAATTCAAAATTTTACATGAATTTGTTTTTCTCTCTTATACTAACCACAGTATCTTTACCAACACCTGCTTTATCATAAGTAAAATCTGTAACATTTATATTCATTGTACCACCACGAAGAAAACCAAATGTACTCAATAAAATTTGTGGACGATTATCATCCTATAATTTCAAATATTGTATATAGTGAACAAAAAAAAAAGAATTATTATCTACTTACAATTATATCAAGATTATGTATACGACAATTGACAAATGAGAACAAAAAATAAAAGACAAATAAGAAGGAGAACATTTTTTTTCTTGTCGAATACGCAAATCTAAAAAAATTAATATTCTAATTTTATCGATTTTTCAAGACATTATGTATTATCATATTTGTGAAATACTTTTTTATTTGAAGTCAAATCTATAATTCAATATGATAAACCAAGGACATTGACGATATTATATTACCTGTATTATACAGTCTACCTTGAAATCATATGACAAAATATTCTATTATGATAACTAGTTTTATTTATCTAATTGTATTACGATTTTGTCAAGTGATGTTCGCAATTCACAATACAATTAAATCTATTATAAATAACGTTTCTCATAAGAAAATGTTTTAAGTATTCAGTTCAAAATATACATTCATCATATGAAACAATTAAAACAGTTTCATGACAATAATGAGTCAAACTGACATATTATGTGTTGTTTACAATTGCATTGTAGGTTAAAAAGAAATCTCTTGAAGTTATTCGATGAATAACCTATACTATTTGCAGAGTTTTCAATAGAAACTACAATCATTAAAAAAAAAGGACCTCCTCAAACTACGAAACATACAAATCTTCCTTTGTCATCTGTTAATAATCACAGATAAAAATATATCTGACTTAACTGGATATAGTCAATCAAGTAGAATAATTTTTACTGACTCATTATTCTAACCAATCTAATAGAACAAAACATGACATCTATCATCCAATAAATATCTTTCTTCAAATCTATATTTTCAAAAAACCTATATTTATATTTTATATTTAACATATAATGGACACTACGAAAAATTTGTCTTCACTTTCGGAAAATAATTTCATTCAAGTAATTATTTACTAAATCTTTCAATAAAAAAAAAAAACAAAAGATTTTTTTCTATTTAGTTACTACGACAAATTCTTGATGAATATTTTCATCGTCTTCCATCAACAAAACAAACAATTAAGATTGATCCACAAATTCGTATACAACTTGAACAACTTCTTCGAAGTACAAATCCATCAGCAAATAAAGTATTTTAGATTTATTATTATTTTAAAAATATAATTTTTAATATTTATTCTTTAGATTATAACAAATGATTTACCTGAAAATTTACAAAAACTTTATATAAATTTTGTAAATGATTATCGACATGATATCGAACGATATCATATTTATCAGGCTAGTCAATATATGGATGAATATCGTTTAAAAAATTTCGATTGGAGTATTCGAGTAAAATAAATTAAAAATAAATTTTATTTCATTTTTTGTTTTTCTGTTCTTTTTTTTTAGATGGCTCTTCATGATGAACATTTATTTAAATGTCGTTTACCACTTGTTAATCTTCAATTAGAATTAACAAATGAAAAAAATTCAAAAGATATTTTACTTGAACTTGATGAACAAGAATTAAACAAATTAATTGATGAAATGATGAAAATCGAACAAGTAATTAAAAACAAAAACATCTTTGCTTATTTTTTATTCATTAACTTTTATTTAGGCTATGAACAATAACAATCTTCTCCTTTCACAATGATTTTCTTTTTTAGTTCATTTTTTATACTTTCACAGTGCAATAGAATAATATCTTCCATGATTCCTGTTCTTTTTTTTTTGAAGTAAATTATATTATTTAAATGTTAGTTTATATTTTAATCTAAGAGATATGTAAAAGAAAATTTTTTTTTAAAGAAGATCATCAAATATAAATATTCGTGTTCATTAATTTAAAAAACTATCTAAAAACAAAGATGAGTAATGAATTTAGACTAGTGTTGTTGTATATTAATGTCCTGTGGGAACGATATTAAAAAGTAGGCATTCCCGAAAGTCGTTTTTGTTTTGTTTTATGTATATACTCTCCAAACTTTGCTCTTTGTTGAAGCCAATCCGATATTACATTGTTGAGAAATAAATTTCGACATTCTTTCAAAAACTTTTGCATCGCTTATTAATTAAAAGGACAATAACAAATAATTATCAATAAAAATTCGATCAATTCATTCATTATTCATTAAATTATTATTCAGATTATCTCGTAATATAGCATTATTATTTTTTTTTTCTCTTGAATGTTTTCGTTTTTTTCATTGATGTTGTTGAGGTGTTAGTATTTTTTTTTCTCGTTTTTCAATTATTCAATGAATGGAGAAAATAATTCTTCCAACTAAGCATTAATAAATTTTCACGTATAAATAATAATTTATTTATTTTACTAAAATGTATTTCCACTGTTAATTTTATTTTCAGTTTAAGACCATCTCATGTTGCGCAAGGGGTGCCGCTGACAGAAGCTAGTGTCTGGTGATGAAAGTTTTTCTCAAACAACATGAAGAATGAAATCGCAATAGGAATTATGGAAGCATGATGAGGATAAGAAAGGGAAATTGAGAAAAGTCGTTCCCATAGGATCCTATTGTATTTACAGAAATGCATGCAAATGAGCATGTTATAAAGAATTTATCATAATTCTTTCATACATATAACTAGCTGATTAATAATAGTTAGATTGAAAAAAAATGTAATATTAAATTTAGGCGAAAAATTTATTGATAATTTCAATATTTTGTTCGATTCAAGAATGAAATAAATTTGATATTAATATTGTTTTCTTTTCTTGGTAAATATCTAAGTTAGTTTTGATTTGAACTTTTAAAGAAATCGAAGAATATATGATGTTGCAATGATATTTCTACATAACAATAAGAAATATTTCGTCTAATTGAATTGAAAGATAAATTATTCTTAGAAATATTATAGTTTGATAAAATTTTGAATGTTATAACACTAAATGTTGCCTTTGAAATATTATCCAATCAAGAAACCATGTGCAATATCCTTATTTCTGCGTATCGATCGATAGACGTTGCTCATTATTTTATTTTTGTTGCAATGTATTTATTATTATGAACGATATACAAAACAATAACTATCAGAATTTAATTATTTTGTACGTCGATCCAAGATTAAACAGTTTCTTTGCCATCATACAGGGATCGAGGTATTATCTGCTGAAGTTCTTATTAATCTATGGAAATAAACGTGAAAACTAATTCAATCAAACTGTAAGAGAAAAAAATTTCATAATTTAAACTGTAGTCTCTGATAAATAGCGTCCGATAATTACCAACATTCTTTCTTAAACTATTATTTATTTATAAATATCGAAGTGAAAACTAGTTCAATCATATGTTAAAATTTAACGGATAAAACTTTTGCTCATATTGGTGATTCCACTCCCTCAAAACAAGTGAATTTCGTTGAAACTAGTTGAAGAAATGCAAAATAATCACCGTTTTCAATAGAAAACTTCGACGATTGATGGAACTTAGATAGAGTGTTCTGGCCCGGAATACTTTCATATTTGTCTGCTAACTTTCGGCGACATTCCATTGAAAAGAACAAGAAGTTAGTCGGAAATCAATGGAAAAATCGAAGGCATCCTGGTCGGAAATACTACGTCACAGCTCCATCGATTACCGAAGCTATACTGCCAGAATTGGTTGGCACACTATCGCCTTGAGGTTAATCGTTCGTCTTTCTTTTTAGAATTGTAATTAATTAACCAAACGTAGGCACTTTTAACAATATGAGTTCTTAAGTAGAGACATATAAAAGTCTTTAAAGAAATATCGATATTTGTTTCTTAGCAATGGAGCATTGGATCAACACATATTGTTTTTTTTTTGTTTGAAAGAGCAAAGTCTGAAGAGTATATATGCGAAAGGAAAACAATTTTATCTCATGAATTTATAATATGCGAACGTAGTCTTTAGACTCATCTCAAACAAGCTTGACAATCCTCAAAAATGTTTATTTGGTGATTAAGGTTACTCTAATACTTACAAGATGTAAACAAAATACATTGATCGACGAAAAAAAAAAAGAATAAATTCAACCTCAGCGATGTATTTTAAAAGATTATCATTCACTTTGCAAAAATTTTCTGGATTCAATATTTATTTTTAATTCATAATTTTCACAAAATCTATATTCTAGCAGAAGAGACACAATAAGAAAAGGAGTTTTAAAATCAATAACATAATCAAAATTCAACTCTAAAAATATAGTATGTGTAAAGTTTGAAGAACTTGATTCATGGTTATGTTTGATTCAAATTTTGCAACAAATAATATCGAAAACTCACAAACTGAAAATACAGAAAAATTAAATTGCAACGATATTTTCACCATAGCTTCATCTTGGAATTTTATTATGATAAACCGAAAACAAAAATATTATTTGAGTATTAAAAAATCGTTTTTCGATATTTTTCCAAAAACTTTTGCATTGCTTATTATAATTAAATTCACAAACAATAATAGAATATTTGAGAATAAAAATGATTGTTTTTCTTTTTCTTATAGCTGTCTATAAAACTAAATCAAATAACAATTTTCGGTAGAAACAAATATTTGCTCGTAATACGTACGATAAAATATATATATATATATATACAAGATTTCATTCTATTCATTATTTCTGTTTGAGCAGACTGCTATGAGGAAATTTATTTTTCTTGACTTAAATAAACATACACAAAAAAAAAGAAAGAACGAAATGTTTCTTTTTATTTTTCTATTCATTTTTTTGCTCGTCCGTGTTAATATTTTTCATATGTATAGTTGAATTGATTTCTTCATCAAAACTTTGCTCATTAAATTTTTCTTTTAAATTTTTCATGTCAATTGATTTTCGTTCGGAAAAAACTCTTAAATCTCGTTCAAGTTTAAAACGTCCATCTTGATTATTTCTTTCCAAAATACAATAACCACAATTATCAAAATTTTTTAATGTATGAAATTCTTCTACTGACCAACGAAAAAAACGCATTAAAAATAATCTTATAAATAAACCATGACTAACAATAAGTATATTATTATTTGGGTTTGACTTATTATCCATTTGACGATATAAACTATCCATAAATAAACTAACACGATCATATACATCAGCACCTGATTCACCATTTCGAAATCGATAAAAAAATCGTCCAATTTTTTGTCTTTCAGCTGCTGTTATTTCACGTCTTGCTAG